GATAAAAGGGGGCAAATGTGCTAATGAGCAGGGGCCCTACAGGGGGAAGGAAGGAGCCATGAGCATATCTGGGGAAGAGTGTTCCAGGCAGAAGCAACAGGGTCTGTGAATGGGGGCGGGGGGTTGGTGGAGAGAAGACCCATGGAAGGGAGCCTTGTCAGCCATGGCAAAGACCATGGACTCTGTCCCTGGCCCTAGGTCAGCGCTGAGGATTCAGGGTTGAGCTGGCAGGACAAACATGTCCCAGGGGCCAGGACCAAGCAGGAAAGGGACATAATTTAACTCCTTCTTTTTTTTTAAAGCTCACTGTGGTTGCGTGATGGACAGTGGCTAGGAGGCTACTGCAGGGGTCCAGCCTTGACGGTGGCTTGGATTAGGGGAGGAGGCCAGGGTGGTCAGATTTGTGATGTATTTTGAAGGTAAAACCCACAGAATTTGTTGATGGAAATGTGATTGAAAAAACACACACACACAGTAGTCAAGGACTCACTCCTCAGAGAAAGGGTGAAAAAAGGAGGGAGCTGGCTAATCTATAGGGGATATTCAGCTTTCCAGTTAGGAGATTAATTTGAGAGAAGTTTTGCACTTTGAAAATACAAAGGATCTCTAAAAATGTAAAAAATTAACCCTAATTAAAAAGCACTTGTTAGCATATGTTTAAGCTGGGCGGTAGGTCTGCGGGCTGGGGATTATTTTATTACTATGTCTTATCACTTACATATGTATGTTACATATTTTGGGGGGGGCACCTGTTAAATATCACACAGTGGTACTTTTTAAAAAGCTTGGCACTGACATCTGTTGTGCGCCCAGGACTCTATTTCCCGGACAAAGACAGAACTAGCCAGAGCATGGGTAGCGTCAGACCAACAGGTGGAGGTCAAGAGAACACTGAAGTGAGAGGTCAAGGGCTCAGAGCAGGATAATGGAGCCGGTGGAGCTGGACTTCAAGGGCTCAAGCTCTGGCCTTGATGTTTGTCACGTGACCTTGGGCAGGTTCACTCACTTCTCTAAGATTATATGTTTTTTTTTGGTTTTTTGTTTATTTATTTATTTATTTTTGGCTGTGTTGGGTCTTCGTTGCTGTGCGCGGGCTTTCTCTAGTTGCAGTGAGCAGGGGCTACTCTTCGTTGCAGTGTGTGGGCTTCTCATTGCAGTGGCTTCTCTTGTCGAGGAGCACGGGCTCTAGGCACGCGGGCTTCAGTTGTTGCGGCACACGGGCTCAGCAGTTGTGGTTCACAGGCGTAGCTGCTCTGCGGCACGTGTGATCTTCCCAGACCAGGGCTCGAACCCATGTCCCCTGCATTGCCAGGTGGATTATTAACCACTGTGCCACCAGGGAAGTCCTCACTCACGTCTCCAAAACTCAGTATCCTCATCTGTAAAATAAGGACCATCACAGCGCCTCCCCCTAATATTACCGTGAGGACTAAAAAGAGATAATACATGCAAAGCCACCAGCACAATGCCTGGCAGGGATGCCGCTTTTGTGGTTGCTGCTGTACTTGAGGATGGGATCAGAAGACGAGAAGGGTGTTAGCTGGATGCTCTTGAAGAACAGCTACCTGGGCGCTGGGCTCCCCAGTAAGTATAGGAGTCCCCACCCAGGGCTCTTGCTGGAGAAGCATCCAGTTTTCGTGCTTCCAGCATCCTCCTTCAAAGGCGTCCTGCAGTCCAGGCCCTTTGACTAGCACCTTCTTTCTTTAAGTTGAAGGCCAATCCAATCTCAGCTTCCCCGTGGCCCAGAGTTAAGGGGGAAATGTTTTCTCCAGAAGGTCACTTCGTTCTGTACCTATAAGCAAGCTAAACGGGAGGCCAAATTGTAACGAGGAGGCTATTTGACGAGCAGGGGGAAGTAAAGGGATTGATAATATCTTAAGATGTGCATCTGGTCTCTTCCCCCTCCCCTTGGTCAGGCTGGGGCCATGGTAGGGCCAGGCTCGAGGAGGGACCTGAGTGGTCGAGGGATTGGTACATACAGGCGGACCAAGCAAACATGGAAATAGTGTGGAGACAATGGGATCCAGTTTCTCACCATCAGAGAAGAGAGTAACGTCTGATGGAAAAGAGGGAGTGCCCGCTCGGGCAGCACATACACTAAAATTGGAACAATACAGAGATTAGCGTGGCCTCTGCGCAAGTATGGCATGCAAGTTCGTGAAGCGGTCCATAGTAAAAAAAAAAAAAAAAAGGCTGGGGGGACTCCCTTGATGGTCCAGTGGTTAAAACTCCACGCTTCCAATGCTGGAGGTAGGGGTTCAATCCCTGGTCGGGGAACTAAGATCCCATAAGCTGCATGGCGAAATAATTGAAGTATACAAAATGTAACATTTAACTGTGCAATACAATTATTAAAAAAAAAAAAAGAAAGAAGAGGAAAAGACTGAGTAAACCCTGAGTGTTGAATTGGAATTAGAAATGTTGGTGTAAACTCATGGTTTTTAAATGGATGTATAGGTGCAGGAGTTTGTATTAGATGCATGTATTAACCTATACACACACACATATGTATATACACATGTATTTCCTACTCCTATCTGCCAGAAAGCCTGGAAGCAGTGTCAGCTCTGTATCAATAAGCATACATAGCACACAGGTCGTGGTGTTTTTCTTTTTGTTTTTTTTTGGCCTCACCACATGGTATGCGGGATCTTAGTTCCCTGACCAGGGATCGAACCCTCACCCCCTGCATTGGAATCACGGAGTCTTAACCACTGGATAGCCAGGGAAGTCCCCAGGTCACGGTTTCTAATCACCATTCTCCACCAAAACCACTAAAACTCATTATTCAAATGATTGAGTCCAAGGCTGAGGCACGGAAATTACAAGATGAGCCTGGAACATCTTGTGCCAAATGTAAGGAAATATTCAAAAAAGGAAAATGATGTGTGTATATCAAAGTAACACAAGAGTCAACCGAATAGTCAAATAGATAATTGTCAAACTGACAATAGTCAAAGTCAAAACAATGTAAGCATTTGTCTGGCTCTTTTTTGGAGACCATGAGCACCTTAATAGTTTATTAAGTATCTTAGTCTATTTGGCTGCTATAACAAAAATACCATAAACTGGGTGTCCTATAAACAACAGAAATTTCTCTCTCACAGTTTTGGAGGTCAGGAAGTCCAAGATCAAGATACTGGCAGATTCTGTTTCTGGCAACAGCCTGCTTGCCGTCTTCTCCCTCTGTTCTCACGTGACGGAAGGGACAAGGGAGCTCTCTGGGGTCTGTTTTATAAAGGCACTAATCCCATTCGTGAAAGCTCTGTCCTCTTGACCTCCCAGAGCCCCCACCTCCAAATGCCATCATACGGGAGATAGGATTTAACATACAAATTTTAGCGGTATACGGTCTATAGCACGGAGTACTTGATAGAGTATAGGTTTGGCTGCTATAATAAAAGCCTAAGATTGACTATGGCTGAACAAATAGAAGTTTAATTCTTTTGCCCTTAAAAGTCTGAGCTGGGGGCTTCCCTGGTGGCGCAGTGGTTGAAAGTCCGCCTGCCAGTGCAGGGGACACGGGTTCGTGCCCCGGTCCGGGAAGATCCCACATGCTGCGGAGCGGCTAGGCCCGTGAGCCGTGGCCGCTGGGCCTGCGCGTCCGGAGCCTGCGTTCTGCAACGGGAGAGGCCACAACAGTGAGAGGCCCGCGTACCGCAAAAAAAAAAAAAAAAAAAAGTCTGAGCTGGTATGGTGCCTCTCCTCCACTAAGTCATCAGGAACCTAGGTTCCTTCTGTCTTCTTTCTCCGCATCCTCAACACTCAGCTTCTACCTCATGGGTCAAAGTGGCTGCTCCATCTCCTGCCAGCACATCCCTGTTCCAGCCAGAAGGACAGAAGAAAAGAGAGAAGAGGTGAGTATGTGCCCTCTCTTTTTTTTTTTTTTTTTTGGAAGAAACGTAACGGGACCTGTCACCTTTTGCCCTCTTTAAGGACATGACCTAGAAGTTGTACATATCACTTCTGGTTACATCACACTCTCCAGAACATTGTTACCAGGTTGTGCCAATCTGCAAGGGAAGCTGGTGGAAAAAAATGTAGTAGTTAGCTCAGCAACTATGTACCTAGCTAAAAATTACTTTACCATGTTAGAAAGGGATAACAGGAACTGGGGGACAGTTAGCAGTCTCTGCCACTCTTACAAATAAATTCTTTGTTTTGCTTTAGTTAAACAGAGTTGATTTCTGTTGCATGTGACCAACATGAGAGGAGTACAGGAAAAGGGGACACTAACTTTTATTGACCAACTCCTGTGTCCCAGGCACATCACACAGATCATCTCTTTGAATCTTAGCAGTGACTCAATAAAGTAGGGTTTGACAGGTGAGGAAACTGAGGCTCAGAGAGACAAAGTAATGTGCTCGCAGTCACAAGCCATGAGTGACAGAGCTAGAATCGGAAACTAGATCTCTGAGACCCAGAGTTCTGGCTTTTCCCATGGTACCACACTTGGGGTGCTCTTCCTTTGCCCAAGACACCCCCCAGGCCCCTAACCACGCCTCGCCCCACTGGTGCTGGGAATACACCAGCCATAGCAGTGCCTGCTTCTCACTTTCTGCGTGTGTCTCAATCTGTCTATGGTTGGCATCTTCTCCCTTTAGCAATGTTGACGCCAGCCTCAATGACGCACATTTGTGCTTAGACAGTAGGCTGTGTCTGTAGCTACACCCTGATCTCATGATTAGAACTTGGGTGTTAGGACACACCTCAGCCATCCCTCGGTCACTCATGTACTCTAAATAAGGCAATGATAGATGCTTCCCCAAGGAGCAGCCAGGGTGGCAAAAGGCTCAAAACTAAACATAAGTTTAAGAGCACTGAAGGTGCTAAGAGAGAGGTATGTTTGGGGTAAAGCAGGGCACACAGGATGTAGGAGTCAGGAAGGGCTTCAGAGAAAAGAATTTATTTGGTCCATGAATCCCCTGAAACTATATGCAAATCTTTGTGTGTCTGTACGTGTGTTTCCTCCAGGGTGAAGGTCCATGACCTTTATCATATTCTCCGAATGATTGACAACTCATGGGGTAGAGACTCTGGGCTAGAGATCGAGAAGGCTGAGGAGGTCAGGGTGTGGCGATGGGGTGGGGATGGTGTGGGCAGGAGCGAGATGCGAGGAGGGCACGGGCCCCTGCTCAGAGGAAGAGCCTCTGCCGTGATAAGGAGCCTGGACTTCACTCCAAGGCCAATAGGCAATTACTGCCTAGGAGGGGTGTCTGTCTTACGCCTGGCCTATGTCACGTAGCCCTCAGAATTCTGCATTGTCTAATGGTGTCTCCTAGGTTATGTGAGTACACAGAGAATCAGCTTCCCACAAACACCAGATGAGGCTTCTCACGGGAGATGCACTGGGTCTCGAAGCATGAGTAGGAGTTTGCCCCGATGATATAGTCAGAAAGACTATTTGGGCTGTATGTTACGGAAACCCCCTGGAATTGTCTTAAAACCATCAATGTGCTTGTTAATGTTTAATAACCAGTTTTTAGCGGGGGACACTGATTTGTAGCATTTGCCAATTTCTGTGGTGTAAATACTGCAGCTGTGGCCTATGTCGAGCTCCCAACGTGATGTCATGGAGAAAGATGTACAATTAGCTTTCAGGAGCTAGTGTGAACCAGCTCCAGGACACCATTGCTTAAACCCATTTATTATAAGAATATAAGTGAGGGGAAGGGGCAGTATAGGGGTGGGGAATTGGGAGGTGCGAACTATTGGGTGTAAGACAGGCTCAAGGATATATTTACAACACGGGGACTAGAGCCAATATTTTGTAATAACTGTAAATGGAAAGTAACCTTTAAAAATTGTATAAAAATTTAAAAATACGTATACATATATGTGTATCTCATGGGGACCAAGCTGGAGCTGCAGCCAGGTTTCCGATAGGACTGGAAGCAGGAACTGAGAGCTTCTGCAACCTCGGCTACCCTTCCCCTCTCTCCTCCTTCTCACTCTTCTATTTGCACTCTTGTCTCCTGTTGAGGCAGATTGGCTTTCTCTGCTCCCCAGTCCATGGATCAAAGAACTGCTACTGCCAACAGTTTCCAGATTTTCCCTCTTGACAAGAAACCAGCCAGACTGAAGCTTGGCCTCTCTTAGTCCAATTTCAAATTCCTTGGAGTCCATTGGCCCAGCTTGGGTCAGGTGCTCGGCCCTGGTCCAATCAGCTGTGATGAGAGGGCAGGCCATCATTATACCAAGATGGCGAGCAAGCCCTCTGATGCTGCAAGTCTGGGGTGTTGGGGAAGGAGAAGTAACCAGAGGAAAAGGAAGCGAGCTCTGAGCCACCAACTCCTTAGGTATCTTGAGGCAGGAAACAGGGGAAATTAATCATATGATAGTTCATGCTGTCTCCTCTAGTCTTGAACTATCCACCTAGAGAATCACTAATTCATTCATTTATTTACTCATTTATTCATGCATTCAGCATTAATTTGAGGTTTATTGAATATATACTCTATATTAGAGGATATGTGGGGCTAAAAAGGAAGGGGAAGTTGAATAAGATTTAGTAACCATCCTCCAGGAGTTTGCCATCTGGGAGAGAGACAAAACATCCATGACACAGGCTTCACAGAAGTACTTTCGAATTGCCGATCCCCTGAGGACCGCACGGGGGAGTGGTGGCCGGCAGCCTCTGAGACAGCCCCAGTGAGCCCTGCCTCCTGGTATTCACATCCCTGTGTAGTTCCCTTCCACACTGCACTAGGGTTGGTCTGTGTGGCCAATAGAATAAAGTTGAAGTCACGATAGGGAACTTCGGAGCACAGGTTACGAAAGACTGTGGCTTCCGTGTTGGGTCCCCTCTGTCTTGCTCTCTTGGATCACTCACTCTGGAGGAAGCCAGCTGCCAGGTCATGAGCAGCCCTATGGTAAAAGCTCAGGGGGCCAGGAACTGAAGCCTTCTGCCAACAGCCAGGCGAGTGAGGTGGGTAGTCAAGCCTTCAGAGGAGACCGCAGCCCTGTTAACAGCTTGACTACAGTCTCATAAGACACCCTGAGCGAGAACCACTCAGCTAAGCCACTCTCAGATCCTTGACCCTCACAAATGATGGGAGATAGTAAATATTTGTTGATTTAAGCTGCAAAGTTTTGGGGTGATTTGTTACACAGCGATAGATGACTAAGGCAGGAGGCGAAATTTGAAGTGGATCTTAAAGGATGAACTCATCAAGCA